CTTTGTTACTGGTGCAGCTCCAGAAAACCAAGACAGCCTAACACCATCACTGGGCCAGAACGTAGTGGGTAACAGCGAGAGATCTGAAATGGGTTTGGAGTTGGAAGTAGGAATACCATCCTGTAAGAGATTTCGGATTTGATTCCAGTCTTCAACAAGACTAAGGGCTTCTAGATGTGGATTCGACCTCTATTTTTATCCCTTTTATGAAGGGGATGAGAACCACTGAGCTACAGGGCAGCACTCGGTGTTTTCTTAAATGAATAAATGCTACCAGTTTATCTTCCACATTTCCTGCTGCATAAATAGTGTTCCTCCTGATACATTCAACTTTCAGATCAATCTAATACACTATTCATCAAATTACTCAGATGTTTATAATCAATTTGAAATCCTTTGGAACTTTATATAATCAAGCATAAAACGGATGGCAGCTGAAATGGGAAACTTAAATGTCAGTATTAGCACAGGTGGAGCCAAAGTGGCATTTGCTGACTACCTAGTTGTGGAATCTAAATCCTATTTAAGTTATTTCTCCGGGATATTTAGTTAAATCAAATGACCTTCATTAAACTCATTTTTCATCGGAATCTAAAAATACCAAATTACCAATTCAGGAAGGATTTTACTTACACCCATAATCAAGGCATCAGCCTTAAATTATTCATTGATTACATCTTTTGTTAGCTCTGTTCTTGACATAAAAATTTTAGATTGTGTTGAAGTTGATTATTTCCTCTTTAAATATGTTCAGAGCCTGATTATTCCTAATCTTCTAATCTGACTTAAACCATAGTTGGAAGATCTAGACTGCAGAAAAGCGAATGTTAAACAACCTAGCATCAAATGAAAAATGTTTATGGCTGGATTATAGAACTTTCTTAGTTTTAAAATATAATGGGTGTACAAACGGAATATTGATTCATTGTATACTAATGCATGACTCCATGTAGTTTCTTTTTTTAAGAATTATTTATCTTATTTATAATTATTATTTTTAATTTGCTACAGGGTACATGTGCTCAGAGAGAGAGAGTGAAAAAGAAAGCTGCCAGTCTGGGCCTCGAACCATGATTGGCCATGTGGGAGTCCAGTGCTTCAACTACCACACTAACTGCTTGTCCCAAACCCACATAGTTCTGTGTCTCAATATTATTCTCAGATTTAGTTTCATTCCTCAGCTGTGAAGATAGAGAAGTACCCCTACTGCTAGTACCGCAAGCAGAATCTTCTCTATGGGTAATACAGTGGTCTACAGAGGAAACTGCATATATTTTTCTAATCTTTTCTTTTTTTGAGAGAGAGAGAGAGATTTTGAGAAATCATGCTGCATTCTTCTCTCAGGATCTTGGGCATGCACACACAAGTGCTCAATGTGAGTTTTAAATCACCAGGTCTAGGACTTGAACTGTAGTTAACTACAGTTGGGAGTCCAGCAACATAACTATTATGCCATCTGCTGGTCCCTCTAATCCATTTTATTTACCTCAAAACTAGAGACCCAGGGACCAGCAGTTAGCATAATGGCTATGTTGGTGGACTCCCATGTAGTCGACCGCGGTTCGTGTCCCGGACCTGGTGGCTTAAAACTCAGGACCTGGTGGCTTAAAATCTCAAGAGGAGAATGGAGAAGAAGGGATTGCAGCGAAGTAGACGGCTGGGATTAAGCTCTTCTTGAAATTATATGCCAGTTAGCCCATTCAACTCTGGTCTGATATCTCAGGAGAGAGGGCATAACCTCATTCCTGTTAAAAGAAAAATAAATCGGTCCATTTAATAGAATGGAGTTTTAATTGAGGAAATCTTAAGACAATTCAAATCGGGGAGTTTGCAGATCAAGCAACTCCAGCTAGCATCCTGACTGCATGGTATTTAAGTTCCAGAAAAGGAGGAACCAGCAGTGGGCATAATGTCACTGGACTCCCATGTAGTCAACCGCAGTTCGAATTCCAGACCCCATGGCTTAAACTCATGCCAGGCGCATGTGCGTGCATGCCTAAGATCCCAAGAGGAGAATGGAGGAGAAGGGATTGTGGCACGGCCATACTCCCTGGGTGTAATTTCTCACTTTCTGTCTGTCTCTCTCTGTTTTTCTGGCAAGTACATTCACCCTATAGCAAAAACCTCTTTGAACATAAATAAATAAATAAATAGAAGGAAAAAAAAAACCCTATGTCCAACCGTGAACATTTATTTGACTAGTATCTAGGGCTCTGTGATCTTGATGGCTCCCCTACCTGACTGCACTTATCTGTAGGCTGTGTAGGGGTTCTGCTGATCTTGCTGGGCATCAGCTAGCTGAGCTGATTTAGGAAGGCCTGGGCTGAGACGTAACCTTTCTCTGCACAACATATCTCCTGCCAGCTGTGCAGACCAGACACAGTCTCGTGGCAACTGCAGAGAGCACAGGAGAGAGAGCCATTACACAAGTGTTTTTCCAGCTACTGTTACTGCCACTTCCCCAAATCATGGGCATGGCTGACCCATGGTCAAATGGGAGAGGATGAAAAGTGCATGGCAAAGGGTGTGGGCGCTGGGAGGGCTGAGACACCAGGCCTCTCAATATAATCGACCAACTATAGATATCCCTTATGTCAGTTATCCAGTTAAAATGCATAGAGTGTGAGAGAATGTACAATGGCCACAAGAATGTACGGAAACAAGAGTCGATAAGATCACATGTCCCAGCAGAGCCAAACATGGAAGGCTGAAAATGCATATAAATCCACAAAGAAAGCTACATAATGAAAACTAGCATCATCAAAATTAAAATCATATTTACATAAAGGGGGAATTATTTGCATCTCTAATATGTAAGGATCACGTCGAAAAAAAAAATTCCAATGCCAGTAAATTCCCAAAGGATGGGACAAAGAGTTCATGTAAAAAGAAGTGAGTACACATGAAGAAAATATTTATCCTCCTTTGTAATATAATTAGAACTAACCTAAGATAGAATTTACACTTACTAAATTCATACAAAAATAAACATTTTAATCAAGAACAAATAAAATCAATGAGATACAATTCCATTGGAACATAATGTGACAATATATGGAAAATACCTACTGCATTAGGAGTTTTGCACTTATGCATCTATTTCAATGCCTCAACCTCATACTTCATTTAAGAATTCTCTCAGGGGACCAGCAGTTAGCATAATGGCTATGTCGCTGGACTCCCACGTAGTCGACCGCGGCTCGTGTCCCGGACCTGGTGGCTTAAAACTCACGCCAGGTGCGTGTGCATGCGTGCCCAAGATCCCAAGAGGAGAATGGAGGAGAAGGGATTGCGGCATGGCCATCGCCCCTGGGGGGGGGTGATTTCTTGCTTTCTGCCTATCTCTGTCTGTCTGGGCGCCCCCCCCCGAAAGTTAAAACCTCCCCAAAAAAAAAAAAAAAAAAGAATCCTCTCAAAACTCACATTATCAGAAAGACTTCCTCTGACATCCCTACAAACAACATGTTCTCCTCCTCTTTCTCATTTTCTCCATACCACATATCACTATCTGATCCTCTATTATGTATGTAATTGTTTATTTATTGTCTGTCTCCTTCACTAGAATAAAACCTTTATAAGAATTTCATTTACCATTTCCCCAACATTGCCTCCACACACAAAACAATGACTAGCACAGATATTTAAATAGTGTGTTATTGGAAACGTCATGATGCATTTTTGTATAGAAAAACACGTCATGACTTTTCCAACAAGTCAGTATTAGGTCAACCAATGAATGAATAAGTAAACAAATGAATGGTTGAATAAAAAGATGGAACAAAACTATACATTCTCCTTATCAGTGTCATCGTGGGAAAAAAATTCCAAAGAAGTGAAATCCTACATCCAATAAGATCAACCTTTTAGTGCATTAATGTAATAACACATTAATGCATTAACTGTAATAGCACATGTATGGAATCCATTTGAACATCTAACAACATGAGTGAACAGTCAACAAGCCATTTATTCAACAAATGTGTTTTGGTTGCTCGCTCTGTACTAGGCACTTCCATTTGTCTCCTTACAAAGAATTTATTTTAGTGGGAGAAATAGCCACTGAAGAAATCTGTATCTATAACATCAGGCAATGATAAGTGCTATGGAAAGATATGAATTGGAAAATGTCAGAGTGGGAATGGGGGACTCAGCCCAATCTTAATATTATGAAGTCTATGTAGAAAAGTGCACATAATACAGCACATGAAATAGAACACAGTATTATATAGTGAAACTTTTAATAACTGTATAGAAATATAAAGCTGTGGTAGTATGAATTAGAAAACAAAAATAAAAATATATAGCTTAGATAGTAAAACTATGGAAATTTTTATTTTTAAGTTCTTATTATTACATCATTTCTCTATTTGAAAAAAAAAAAGGACAGTCATATAGAAAGGAGAAAAGTAATCTGGAATAAGAAGTCTAAGATCTAGAACTTGCGGAGTACACTGTCACCCTGTTCTCTGGAAGGGCCTTCTCCCTGCATACGGAGTAACTTAGGGAGATTGAAACTTTGGGTTGTAGATGTCCTTTCCTGTGTAACCAGGGAAATCTCCTGCCTCACTTCTTGTTTCAACTGATTCTCTTAAACATGCAGATTAGGTTTTAAATTTCCTTTTGGTTTTGCTATATTGAATTCAACAAAGTCAAATTTGCAGAATATCAGGCACACAAAAAGTATGTGTTCCAGGTGTTAATGCTGGCATTCTTATAACATTCTGCTCTGAGACTTTATTATATATTAGCGCCTCAGTCATTCCAAAATTCCTCGAATTTCCTTCTGGTAATGCCATTTGATTTAGCAACTGGATAAAAACAGCTGAAAGCATTTCTTGGTCTTAAATTAGAGTTGGCCATGACAAATGTTCCTGTAAGAATATAGGATGAATCCCACACATTTATCACGGCATCTGGGCCATGTTTGTTTCTGTAGGACAGAAGAGAGGATAAGGAGGATCCTTATGTTGGTAAACTACAAGTCTAAGAATAATACTTACCATCTGGGATTGCTTTGACAAGAATACTGGCCTGTTCTTCCACTTAATTACCAAAATGAAGTATCATCTTGCAAAGACAATGATCTTGAAGATCTAGACTTAAATAAAACCAGTGAGAATACTTTCATTTAAATATTGTTGCATTTATTTACTATGACATTCGACAAGCTTCTAGAGTTTATAGAAAAAATTTCATGCCCGCATTTAGCCTATACAAACATGAAGAAGTTATGTAAACCCAATATAATTAAAGCAATTTATATAGGGCATAAACTTCATGACATTTACAGTCAACTTGCAAGTAAAGAAGGCAACTAACAGAAATAACTTCTCCCAGCAAAAACACTTATGTGGTTTGCACAGTTTCAAAATACCAGTCTTTAAATATGTGCTATTCTACCAAAGCGCCAAAAGGAGAATAGCAAGCTAAATACAGAAAATATGGCCTCAATTTAGAGATTTGGTAAGAAAGTAAAATGAAGACCTACTTTTACTCCTGCTGTTGTGAAGAATCAACTTAATTTCCCCAGCATTATCATTTCATTAACTCCAATAGGGAATATAACTTCAAATAAATCGCAGGCTTACCTAGATCGAATGGACAATTAACGTGATTATAATATTTCTAGTGTTAAAGCTAGTGAGTTCCTGAAATGCTCGAACTTTTCCATTGCAGAATCTCCCTTGATAAATCGAGAAATGGTGGCTTTTTAATGCCAGATGGGTGAATAAGAAGCATAGCCAGTGGCTGCCTGAGGTCGTAAATGGAACAGGGACCCTCAAGTGCTGCCCCTTATGGAATGAGCACATCAGGTTTTCCTATTAGCCAAGAGGTTGAGTAAACCTAAGCACATAGACCCACACTCACAACCCAGTACTGAGCAGATATCTGCCAGCAATTTTTCCATGTAAGACCCCAGGCTTGCGTTTGACAGAATTGTTACAGCAGTAAACATTTACCCTGGGCATCGACCTGACACAGCTCTTTGACAAAAAGTTTCCGTCATGCAGTGGAGAGAACAGACAGATGAGTCCTGCCTAATGGACACAGCGCTAACCTAGTTTAGGAATGATATGTTTAAAATCTCTGGAGGAGCAGCAACTACTTCTCTGATTCTGCATTCCAACACAGAATGACCTTTGGGAATCAGATCTCAAAGACATATTTTGTAAGTGGCCCTCTTTCTGACGCCGGCTGTAAAATCCTGGTCATCCTGAGACTCACAGTCATTTATTTTAACCCACATATTTTCATCTTCGGAAAGCAGACTTGCTTCTGCGGGAGGGAATGGCCACGTTCTCTGCAGGTAACCCTTAGCTAAGGGTCTACACAAAACACATCCGACCTTGGAATAAAGGAAGGACGGTTTGGCTTAGAAGGACAGGAGGCTAAATTCTAAACATTGAGGTGAGGAGATTATTTGAAACATTCCTCCCAAAGTCAGGTTCTTCAAGACTGTTTCTTCAAACTCTTCCTAATACTTTGTTTTTTAATCTAGAAAGGTGTCATATGGATGTTAAAAACTGCCTACCCAATGCCTCTTCACAGTTCTGTGTCAAAGTGCCCCTATTCTGTTCTGATGAGCCTGAAGACGAAGAAGTGAGCAGACCCAGGAGTCGCTCAGGGCAGCTTTTTCCTTGCCTTTTTTCCGGAGGTTTTTGTCTTATGGCATGTGTGGTTGCTAGAGAAAGAGACAGACAGTGAGAGGGAAAATGAGAAATCACCCCCCATCCCAGGGCTGATGGCCACTCCACAATCCCTTCTCCATTCTCTTTCTGGGATCTTGAGGGCGAATGCGCATGTGCCCAGAGTGATTTTCAAGCCACCAGGTCCAGGATTCAAACCACAGTCAGCCATGTCAGAGTCCAGCAACATAACTGCTACACCATCTGCTGGTCCTGAGGGCAGCTTATTTCTGCCTTCCCATCCAGGGTTACCAACTCCCATGTCCCAAAATCAGGAGGAGCGCTGCATCTGTAAACTGAGCTCCCCTCCCCATGCAGACCTGATTGTGTGCTTGGGTTTATCGCTGACTCTGAGCTCTCAGATTCTCCCTCAGATGGGATTTTACTGGAATTGGAAGTTTGCTATCATCATTTGGGGGAGAGAATTGGACTTGTGGGTAGAAAAATCACCAGTCATCAGTCTTCGTTCCATTCAGAGGAAACATTCCCTTCCCTGACCTACTGCGTCCTCCCAAATAGGTTTGAGATGTAGGCGTGCTTCCTGCCAATCACACTTTAGCTTAGCGATGAGAATAGACTTACTTGGTAAACAGCGTGTGGCAGCGGTTAAAAAATACTCTAGCAAAAACATACCAGAAATAAGCACAGATGGCCCAGTCAGGTGGTGCAGGCTGTAGCTTACTGGACTACCATGCTGGAAGTCACATGGCCAGCCATGGGTTCGGGTCCCCCAGGTCAATGTGAAAATACTCCAAGCGTGTGCATGAGCACCCAAGATTCTGAGAAGTTGGCGGACTGGGGACAGGATTGCAGCGTGACAAAACCCTGCTAAGGGTGCTTCTCTCTCTCTCTCTCTCTCTCTCTCTCTCTCTCTCTCTCATGCATACACACTCTATCACTAAAAAGAAAGGAAGAAAGAAAAGAAATAGCAGGTATTTTGCACAGCCTATTATGTGAGACAGAGAATAGTCGTCTCAGATAAATTAAGTTACACATTGAGGAAAAGAGTCCAGAAGAGCAGAACAGTTAGGGTACAGGTGCCACTTAGAGAGCAATAGATGGACAATATTGAATGAAATATTTGCTAAAATGCTCAGTCCTAATGGAGGCATTTAAAGACTAACACCAGCAGCGAAGAATAGGAAAGGACAAAGCTACTAGAACCCAAAGAGTAGTTGCTATCGTCTGAATGTCTGTGTTTCCCCCAAACTTCATACATTGAAATCCTAACTCCCAAGGGATTAGGATGAGGTGTCCAGGCCTTGGGGAGTCGTGGAGGTCAGAGCCCTCATAACTGGGATCTGTGCTCTTATGAAAGAGGCCCAAAGCAGATCCCACTGTGTTTGAAGATGCAGCAAGAAAGCACCATTTATGAGCCAAAAAGCAATCCCTCACCAGGACAGAATCTGTCTGATCTAGACCTGCCAGACTCCAGAACTACGAGCAATAAGCATCTCTTGTTTAGTGACTGCCCGTATTACGGAGTTTGACTAGTGCAGAAGCCAACATGTAACAACAGTGTGGAAGACGGGTCAGGTCAGCTTTCAAGAGAGGACGTGCTGCCAAGAGCATGGTGAGCCCCTCCCCTTATTTTCGGATCCGCTTCAGCATTCACAGTGAGGCCACGCCGTTTCCTGTCTGCTCCCACCAATGGCTGAGCACACCACGGATACCAGGGCAAGGCCCCACCCATGTGGATTCCTCCAATGGACAACCTTTGCTTTGGGCAGCCCCTCAGCCTTGCCAAGAGTGAGAGGGGCACTGCAGTCTTCAGCTCCTTCAACCGAAATACTCCTCCCTTCCCCTCTCTTTTCACAAGTGACAGGCATGCAGCACTCTCTAAAGACACTTCTAGCCTGCCCACCCCTTCCTCCTATAGCGTTGACAGGTGTTCCCCAGGATAGGTCTCCTGCACAACTAATTCCATCATGGTGTCTGCTTCATGGAGAACCTGAACTAATGCCAACAAATGCATAAATCAGTGCAGTTTTGGCACATCTGCTGGGAGACAAAATGATAGCTGAACGTTTAAGTGAATATTAACCATAGAGAATGCAAAATAATAATTGCCTCTCCTTTCTACCAAAGCACATACCACTTTCAAAGTTTAATATTTTAAACTGTTGCTTACCCCTTAACCATTTCAAATAGAACTTTCTCTTCTCTTGGCCTTTCCATTACATCTGTTCTCTGTATTTCTCTCCAGCTCAAAATGAAATGGACTCTTTTGATGGTGGTGTGGAAGATACGTGGATGGGAAACAAACAGACCTCTCCCAGCAGATTTGGGCATGACCTACAAGCAGGTGTTACTTATAGATAGCTCTTACACTAGGTACCCGTAATTATTTTCTTAGATATTTTTGCTATAGGGTGTGTGCATTCACTGGAGAGACAGAGAGAGAGAGAGAGAAACCATTCCGGGGCGGGGTTGGGAAAAGATAGCCACACCACAATCTCTTCCCATCATTCTCTCCTCAGGACTTTGGGTGCGTAAGCACACACACAACTGGCATGAGTCTCAATTCTCCTGGTCCAGGACTCAAATCAGGAATCCAGCACCTTAACCACTATGCCACCTACTGACCCCAGGTATCTGTAATTCTGAGCTTCCATGCTTGGTGTTTTCAATACCTGGAAATTGAGAAAAATACACACTTGGAAGTTAAATAAATCTCAATAACTTTGGTTTCAAAAGTAATACTCAAAAGTTTATAATTCATCTGGTCAGTGAATATTAACCATAGAGAATGCAAAATAATAATTGCCTCTCCTTTCTACCAAAGCACATACCACTTTCAAAGTTTAATATTTTAAACTGTTGCTTACCCCTTAACCATTTCAAATAGAACTTTCTCTTCTCTTGGCCTTTCCATTACATCTGTTCTCTGTATTTCTCTCCAGCTCAAAATGAAATGGACTCTTTTGATGGTGGTGTGGAAGATACGTGGATGGGAAACAAACAGACCTCTCCCAGCAGATTTGGGCATGACCTACAAGCAGGTGTTACTTATAGATAGCTCTTACACTAGGTACCCGTAATTATTTTCTTAGATATTTTTGCTATAGGGTGTGTGCATTCACTGGAGAGACAGAGAGAGAGAGAGAGAAACCATTCCGGGGCGGGGTTGGGAAAAGATAGCCACACCACAATCTCTTCCCATCATTCTCTCCTCAGGACTTTGGGTGCGTAAGCACACACACAACTGGCATGAGTCTCAATTCTCCTGGTCCAGGACTCAAATCAGGAATCCAGCACCTTAACCACTATGCCACCTACTGACCCCAGGTATCTGTAATTCTGAGCTTCCATGCTTGGTGTTTTCAATACCTGGAAATTGAGAAAAATACACACTTGGAAGTTAAATAAATCTCAATAACTTTGGTTTCAAAAGTAATACTCAAAAGTTTATAATTCATCTGGTCACGACTCTCAAAGCCTACATTAGGATTCACCCAGTTCCGTGAGTTTGCCCTTGAAAAGTCTTTCGAAGGTAGCTCTACATTTCTTCTCCAGTAACTACGTGTCAAGCTTCAATTCACTCCAGGTTTGTCAACGTCACCAGCCTCCCTTTCATGCATGGTTCATGACTGTAAATTACCCATTTGCATCACTTCCATGTAAACGTAATTCTTTGCAAATAGAACTGGGACTACGATACAGTCGACCTCAACCAACCTCCCCATGAGGCTGTAGACACAGAAAATGAATTTTTATTAGAGGTTAGGGTGGGAGGAGAGAAAAAAGCAAGTGCCTGCTCCCCGTTGCCACCTGCATGGGCGGGCACAGACGGTGCCCACCCAGAGAGCACCCAGCCGGCCCACAATTCAGCCCACACACAGTACCACCACCCGCTGTGAGGAGGCAACAGGAAAGCAGAGACAAACAGACCACTCACTGTG